TGTTGTCCTTGCCGGTGCTGAATCATGGAGTGGACCGCGTCGATGAGGCGGTGCTGGGGGACCGAGTTGAAGAAGCCGACCAGATCATCGTTGGTGGCATATAGGGAGATGTCTGCTGGGGTTTGGGTGAGGTGGCAGTGGAAATGGCGCCAGAGTTGCGGGATGGAAAGTTGGCCTGGATGTTGTGGATAGAGGTGTTGGAGAATGATGTCCAAGGCACGGCTAGTGATGCGTAGGAGGTTGCCGCTGAGTGAGTGGAAATAGGAGATGATGGTGGGGCCTTTCTGCCAGCGCTTCTTCTCTTTGAGATGGACCACTCCATATGGAATGTTGAAGTCCTTGCGGAAGCCCCATTTGTATCGGGCGCGTAGGGTGGAGGGTACAGTGGCTTTGAGGTGGTCGTGGATGTTGGCGGCTGTAAGGCATATGCCGTGAGGTCATGTGTGCAGCATGCAGCAGGGACTGTTTGTAGGCTGGATTTTTGAATTCAAAAAGAAACCGAAAAAGAACCCGACATGAGATTGATACAAAAGGCATGGAGTGGTGACATGCTAGGTAGTCAAAGAACTTGTGTCGAGAGGCGTGCTGCTGAATTTGTCCGATGGCACGCCGTGGGAAAATTGGGTGAAACTGATCAAATAAAGTAACTGCCAATAGGCGGTTCCGAAGGGGATTCCGGATGCCTCGTCTCACTGGGCGCTCGCACAGCAGCCGTCTGCGGTGGTAGAGCTTCATGTGTGGATGGAGGGGTTGTTGCTGGTGAGGCTGAGTAGTCAGGTTGCGATCGCTGTGGTGATGTGTTCGCAGGTGATGTGGGAGTGGGTGAGATGTGGTGCGAGGTGGAAGGTAAAGGCTGTGGTGATGTTGTGGGTAGTGGAGTAGGCTCAGGTGGTTGAGCGTCTTGCAGTCTTTGTAGGTCTTGAGGCTCTTTCCATCGAGCCTTGCATTGCTCGATGGAGAATCCGACTCGTCGAGCAACAAAAGTCCAGTTGGGTCGGAGCTTGGGGTTGGTTTTGAGGTCCACGAGGCGGCTGCACGTCGATCGAGTGGAGGTGGTGGTGGCTCTTTGCGCTTGCGGGCGGGTGTGTGCTTGGGTGAAGGAGTGGGAGAAGGTGTGTCGGAGTTGACTGATGGCGGAGGTGGGTTGCGAACTCGTGGAATAGGTGGTGGTGAGTCGCAGGAGGAAGTGGGTGAACGGCAGGTTGATGGGGCGCGTTGGTGGCGCTGGCAAGGGTCTGTGGAAGGTAGGATCCGCCTGTCCAATGTGGTGTAGAAAACGTGTGTGAAGATCTGCCATAATGTCTGTGGCTTGCCGGAGGAGGTGTTGGATCTGAGAAGGGGCCACTGTCGTTTGATGTAGTAGTGCGGTAGTATCTTCAAGAGGATGTGAGCTTGTGGTGGTCATATGTTGAAAGTGTGATTGTGATGCCGATGAGGAGTTCACTGGGTACGGGTCGTAGTTTGTAGCAGCAGCGCAGCGGCGCGGCGGCGCGGCAGCTGGGCAGCGGTGGCGCAGCATCACGAGAACGTGCATATGAATTAAGCACAAAGACCGGGCCGAAAATCATGCCGACATGAATTCACGATCAGCATCAAAACAGTGGAGAGTGAGTTGAACTCAAGAAAGTCAAAGTTTCATTTAGAACCAACAAAGCTTGAAAGGTCGAATGACATGTAAAAGCTGAAACCCGAAGCATCTGCACGAGTGTCAGCGTTGCTTTTGCTGCTGGCGAGGCGGAGGGTGTGTGGCTGGGCGAAACCGAAGGTTGTAGGCGGTTGTCGGGTGGGTGTTGAGTGTTGGGTTGTCACAGGTCTGGTGGGGTTGCGTTGACCGACCATGCTAGTCCTTTGACAATAGCATGGTCAGGGTGGATGACCCAACTTCTGCCCTTCTGGTGGAAGACAGCGCCGTGGTTGTCGTGTAAAAGGGTCATGGCGTGTTCTTCGCCGCCCGAAGTGAATTTTGTGGCGGCGCCCCAGGCCAGGAGTGTGATAACGAGGGAGTGGGTGTTTTTGTGGAGTTGCCATGTATTGTGGATAATGCGAGCAAATTCGCCGTGGTCGTGTTGTGGGTTGTGAGTAATGCGGACCCCCTGGGCAAAAAAGCCAGGGTAGTTTGGGAAGTGAAGTGTGCTGGGAGGAAACGGCCTTGTCGTAGGATGTTGGTGATGTTGCCGACAGGGCCGGTGTGGCAGGCGTTGATGTGCGCTTGTCTGTGGAAGTGGCGCGGGAAACTGGTGGCGGTGAGGGTTGGGTGGCTTTGGTGTTGAGGTATGGGAGTGAAATGGCATTGTACTGGAATTGATCATATTGCTGGGTAGTGTCATTCCACTTGGCGTAGGTGTATTGCCTGAAGTCGGCGATGTCTTTGTATGTGATGTTGCTGTCGAGGAGAAGGTTGGCAATGTAGTGGTGTTGAGGTCGATTGGGGGTATCCAGCTGGTCGGCATGGAAGTCGAGCCGAGTGATAAGTTGCTGTTGAGGAGGTAATTGTTGAAAGTGTGAGGTGGGTCGCCAAAAGTTGGGCGGTCGACGATGTACAGGTGTGAGTGGGTACTCCGTGGTGGAGGCGTTGGGATTGTCGGCGGTGGAGGTATCCGTGTTGGGTCGTAGGTCAAGAGGTTGTCTGGAGCGACTGCGTGAGGGTGTGGAAGAGCATGAGTAGGTGGATGTGGAGGGCGAGCGGTGTCGCCTGGAAGAACTTTTGTGTTTGGTGGTCCTGGAGTGCTGTCGGTGTGTGCGTCGACGGCGACGCCGGTGGCGACCGTGTCTGTGATGATCGGTCCTGCGGCGGCCCTGGTGGTGGTGGCGCCGAGTAGGGTGTGGTTGATGAGATGATGGCTGTGCTGGTGAAGCTGTATGAGTTGCTACCCCGGCGGCGGGGTCCGGGTTCACCATGGTCGGTGGTGCCGGTGTAGTGGCTGGTGATGGAGAGGGTTGTGAGACAGTAGCTGCAGTCGTGAGGTTGGGAGTAGGGTTTGTGGGATCCTGCGGTGTAGGATCTTGGGGTGGTGGTTGTTCTTGTGGTGAGTCGCTGATTGCCTGTTGGGGCTGTGATGAAGGGTGTGGTGACAGCGGTGTCACTGGTGGGAAGACTGAATAAGGTTGCCATACCCCTTGCGGTGTGTGCCATTGGGGTTCTGCTGATGTGGGCTGGAGTGACCTGCTGAGGTGTGGGAGGTGGCTGCATTACGATAGCTGTGGTGGGGTGGGCAGATGGTGAATGTTGTTGAACGATGTAGGATGCTGGAAACGCTTGTGGATGATGTGTGGCCTGTGGCGGTATCTGATGTGGGTGAGGGGAATGTACGAGGGTCCACATAGAGTGAGGTCCATAGGGTAATACAGTTGGTTGCGCTGCAAATGCTGGCTGTTGTGGAGCTGGAAGTGTTGGATGTGGTGGAACTGGAAATGGTTGATGTTGTGGAACTTGGAATGTTGGTTGTGTGTGCGGATGTGGTGGATGGGGTGCCGGTTGTGTTGGCGGAGTGGGTAATGGCAGTGGTGCTGTGTGGGAGTAAGGCCAAGGATACTGCATGGTGTGGGAAATGGAAGACTGTCCAGAACTCGTAGTATCTGCTTCACAATGGCAGCGGCGCGGCGCGGCGGCGAGGACAGCAGCTGGTGCAAACGTGTAAAGTGAGATGGTAAAGATATGGTTAAAATGTGAGTATGTGGCGTAAAAGCGGTAGTTGTGGAAGTTGTGAAAGTGTGAAAGGTGGTAAGTCCATGCAAGTCGAATTAAGCGTTCGAAATGAATCAAATCGCTCAGCTTGAGGAAGAAAACCACGAAACACAAAGTTCAAAGCTTATACAAAACCGATGCAGGGTGAAATCTGCTGGTGTCCCGTTTTTTGGCCCGGCGGCCGTGGAGGCAGTAAATTCAGTTAAGGTTGCTCCAGCGGTGAATTCCGGTGAAGGTGGAAAAGCTCAGTTACACGATTTCCGGCATGAATTCAGCGCCCCAGTGACGGGGATCACACTCAGCACCCGAGTGGGACGGCTGAGCGAAACACACTCTGACATTGGTATTCAGTGAACTCAGTTCCCACGTTGAGAAGGAAGGTGAAGGAACGGAAAGGTGCATGAGTCGGCAGAAAAGTATTGTTTAAACACAAGTTTCACGACAAGCGCAAGTGGAAGCGGCGTTCAGCAGCTGCAGTGCGGTGGGAAACCTGTTTATGGGGAAGGATCACATGAAACACCATGAATCAAACCAAAAGAGTGGACAGCGTGTGCAAAAGTTCATTGAGCAGGTACACAATGCGGCGTCCCGCATTGCTTCACCACGAGCTGACAGCATCTTCGTTGGGCAATGTCTGTCAGTCGTGCATTGCCCCCCTGCCTCGTGGAATGGTTGTAATAGAAAACCGTGGCATTGAACCCTTTGGTACAGGGGGTGACACACACACACTCACACACACTTAAGATTTTGCGTACGGAACTGAAAGGCTCCAGGTAAAAACACCACCCACCAAATGACTTCCCCCACAGCGATGAGAAACCTGCAAACCTCCAAGCTCAAATTTCAAGCTCAAATACGAGTGCATGTCTGCAGAGCTCAAAACCGATGCAATAGCCAGCGATTTGTTCTAGTAACAAAGGGGCCCATGAGGAAGTAAGTGGTAATCACTGCAGGTACGTCTGGCTGATCAGGCCAGATATCCGCATGTACTGTGGCCGCTTCGTTGGACCATCGCTCACAGCACATGGATGGTCCCCCTGCTTAAAAACATTCCAACAGGAACCTTGTGACTCCAAAGGTTGCACACACACACACACAAATGCTGAGAAATGGCATCGCATCAAACCGGGGTCTGACCCACATATCAATTCTGATCCCCTCAACCAGTCTGATCTTGTTCTGAGGCAAGTGGGTCGTCCAGCTATGCGCATGGGTGTCAAACGCTGTAGGAAAACGCACACAACCTTCAGGCACCCTGGCAATGTGCTAAAACAAGTACCGCAAAGCAAAGCCTTGAGGGTAGCTCTTTCAAGCACCTCGCTAAGGTGGTTCCGGAAGGGCTGCTCTTTGTCAAAGCTCTCAGGTCACGTTGCTGCAGGTTGAAGCCTTGGCTCTGACACCAGGCATGACGTGTAATGCCAGAGGGCAAAAACAATCAAATCGATGCCCGCAGCTAGCGCAAGCAGCCTACAGCTGACGCCCGCACCTTCACTTTGGAACCAGGCGAGAAGCTCAATCTCAGCTTGCCCGGGAGCTTCTCTACCGGATTTTCCCACTTCTAGGTGGACTCAAGTGACTTTCATGCTGTTTCTGGTAGGTACGCAGCAGGCCGTGCACCAGGACGAAACAGAGTGCTGGAGCCCCATCCCTTGTGGGGCAAGGCCTTGCGTCTCCTCTTGGCAACGGTTGCAGCGAGTGGAAGACGTGCATCTCGTGGACGTTCGTTGAAGTCTGGCAGAGTCCAACGTGGCAGTCGTCGCTGTAGACCAAAGAAGGCCGCAGTCCATCGCGACAAGTCCACAAAAGCCACTAGACTCTTAGGGTCTGGCCTTCGGGTCGTCGTCAAGGAGGCTTCTGATTGTGCCATCTGATGTGTTTTGTGCAATTCTGCTGAATGGAAGCTCCGGCCAGCAGGGAAGCGCCAAGACAGGGGAGCAAGTCTTCTAGCTTCGTGCGAAGATCGGCCACCATGGTTCAACAGGGAGACCAGCACCAAGCCCACCAAGTCCTGCGTGGAGCACAAAGAAGTTTCAAGAAGCCTCTACAAACTCTGATGACATGGGATGATTCTGCGCCTTTCGTTCTTGAGGCATTCGGAATCTACCTCAAACATCCCAAACTCCCAAAGTCCCAAACCCATGGTTTTCACACAGGGCCTGGCACAATGCATTCCGCGTAGTTGGCCTTCCCAGGAAAGCTGGCAGGCGTTGTTCCCAGCTCAACTCGATCAAAGCCCTTCAAAGTGCCACTTCGACAAACACGGCAAGTTGCCTCATCCAGCTCATCCGGCCACCTGACTAGGCGGTTTGGTTAAAGGAAGTGATGGTTTAACAGTTTTGACCCATACACACACGGGAATGTCTGTCTTTGATGTCCGCTCTCTATTTTTGTCCAAGTTGATCAGGCTGAAACGTTCCCATCACTGCCAAACACATGTGAATACTGAGACCCTCTGATTCTCTGGCCTGTCCATGCCAGTCCTCAAATCTCTATTGGCCTCCTGAACTTCCAAAAGGTTGTAACCAGTGATGTAGATCATCGAGCTTTGAGGGAGCTTCATGAAGGTCTCTCGCCACTGCTCTTGGTATTCCCTCAGAGATGTGCCGGCATTTAAGGCGATGAACAACTCCCACGACGCTGCGGCCGCTGTGCCCGCCACCACTCCCGCTTCTGGCTGTTCGTGCCATAGACCTTCGGCTCGTCCCAGCCGGAACGGCCCCTCCTCCAAAGCCCTCACTTCCTCTAAGGCTTTCCACCCACAAACATGGTCAAAGGCATCAAAAGAGAGCTCAGTTAACCATGGGAGCAAACAGACCCATGTTGCAAATACATGTCGTTATATACATGTGCGTGCAAAGAGTCTGACCAGCGAAAAATCTCGGACATAGTAAGAGACGGCGTTCCTCCAACACGCACCCTTTGCTGCTAGGAGCAAGAAGCTACTAGGAACAAAGGGCATCGCCGCTAGGAGCAAGGACGCTATCAGGGGCTCCTGGCTGGAGAAATGTTGACATCCTGTTGTCACGGTGACCGCATCCTTTGGTGTGAAGAAGGGATGAGCAGCCCTTTCAAACCCAAAGGAGAGCAAAAAAACCGTTGGCACCACCACAAGACCGCTGGCACCACACCCCTAGACTGGAGGTCTTGTCAAATCGATGGATGGTCTGTGTGCCGGAAGAATCGCCTGGCCGATGCTCCAGCTGAAGCTTGCCTCGCTGGCTGCTGCGGGCAGTAGGCACCTCAGATGCGATCCGGTCGTACCAACAAGGCATCAGCGCCTTTGCTACGATGTTTTAGAACATTGTTTTTTTCTGAATACTTCAAAACTCGGGCTTTGAACTGAACCATACCGCACTACTAGGTAATCGTCGGATTGGAGGTTTTGTGGGGTTCGTCCGATTGTCTCTACATCCAAAATGTTGCAAAGCAGACCAGAAAATATAGAAAAAGAAAATGATACGCTGTTGGCCTTGCTCCAGAAACTTCCGGCCCACAAAACATCAGCTGGAGATCGCCTTAGCCGAGTTGGTGACAGGGTGACAGCCGGACAGGGGCCGTGTGGAGTTCGGACATCCTGCTCTGGGACCCCGCAAAAACGTGCCAAAACAATCCGAAAGAACGAATTCCCTTCTTTCAACCAAGAGTGGCCATCGCCCAAGATGGTCAGCAACTTCTCTTCCAAGACCTCGATGCCCAGATGATATTCGCAGGAGGAGCTGGGCCCCAGGATGCAGACCTTGGCGCTTTCGTGGTTTTCGTGCAATCCAGCTCAGCTAAGCCACCAGGAGTTCATGCTGGAGTCAAAGAGTCAAATCAAATAAATACAAATCCAAAAGTAACGAATCAGAGCTAAAGCCACCTTTAGGCCCTGCATGCTCTCCACATGTCCACGTATAGCTCTATGCAGGCGTATGGCTTCGGCGATGCTGGCTGCTCCTGTCCACTCCTGACAAATCGCCCGCAGACCCCGCAGGCCCCTGTGGCCCCTGTGTCCCATGGGCATAGGCTCAAAAGAAGAAGAGGCAAAAGTCGTTTAGGATGCTTTAAGTACAACAGTCATCCCCAAGTGGTTGAGGTAGAGAGAAGAAGAACCAGAACTTGCAACTCGGCATCGTTTTTGATATTGACATTGCAGCCACTAGCCCCGCCATTCCATCCAGTCCAGGCATATCCAGCCATCCCACCCCAGCCAAGCCAGTCCAGTCAATCTTATGCCGCAAACCCCGGCAGCGCTTCTCGTCACCCACGAAGCGCTCCTCGGAGATGGCCTCCAAAAGCTCTAGATCCTCCCAAGGCGGCGAGGACGATTCACTGCCTCTTATCCCAAGGCCATGCCGACCTTTGCTTTGCCTTTTCGGGGCTTACAGGGGGGTTGGAAATTCCCAGACTCCACACGACAATCTAGTTGAGTTGCCTTTCAAAAGTGTGACCCTGTCCTCCAGCTCCTCCGGTGGAAGGAATTCCACCTCCATGGCGAAGCGATGCCAAAAGCTCAGCTGCTCCTGACGAACGCGATGGCAGCCGGCTCTCCAGTGAGTCAAGCAACAAACTAAAGTGAAGGCCTGGATTGAGTTCAAGATGAAAGTCTAGCGGCATGCTTTCCAGTTAAAAGGAGCAAGGTTTCACACCTTTAAATCACCAAGAAAAGCTCGGATGTGTCAAGAATTCACAAGTTGACTCCGTGAACCTGAACTCTTTATCTTCCCTCTGTCCTCGGTCACCGGGATCATCACGGGTGGATGAGGCACATGGGCACGATCCAGGGCTTCAGCTTGCACCTCTCGATCTCGAGACCAAACACCGAAGCAATTTGCGACAGGTGTCTTGTTCACTCAAATGTTGAGGCACTTCTTCCGTGCACTGCTTCCGTGCACTTCTATGAACTTCACTCCCAACGTCATCCCCACCTTGGAGAGTAGAAGTGACCAGGCCTGAGCCTCCAAGATCTCATTCTCATGCTGTTCATGCTTCTCATGCATGTCTAAAAGGCTCTGCCAAATGCGCTGAGCCTCCTGCCTGGCGCAGCACAGTGGCAGCCCCATGCTGCAGCCACAAAAATGACAAGTCGTTTCAGCTCGACATGTCACATTTGGAAACACAAAAGGCCTAGACAATTTTGTCGAAAGTGCGGCAATGCCGGTTGTGGACTCTGCTGGCGAGGAACTTGCTTTGTGGAAAAATGAGTTGTAACAACAGGAGCATCACATGAGATGACAGAGCAAGCGGTTAATCAAGGGATAGAACACTGTAAGTCATAGCAAGCTGGAGATCCGCAAACGTTTCAGGGTGTGTGACATTGACGTCCGGTCTCACCCTGTCCACCTGATGTGGTCCGGCACTGGCAGCATGCTCGGTGCATCTGAAGAAACCAACTGGTTGCAAGCTCTGCTCAATTCAGATTCCTCAAGTGAACATCTCGCATGACACAAACGCTTCAGGGACTTCCTGACGGAAAAAGGAATCGTACGGAAGGAAGAAGCCGAAGAGGCTTGGGCTGAGACACTGGGCTGATTTCTCCAGCTTCAGCACAAACCCATGCCTGTGTAGCACATTCCTAGACGACTTGGTCATCGAGAAATTGTGAGAAATTCCCAGCAGACGGGTGCATGAAGGGCATCGCTACTAGTGACAAGAATCTACTAGTAAGGTGGTGAGGCGATTCGTCGCACTAAATGGGCGATTCTCGGCACTTGCCCAATGCAATCCTAGCCTCGATAATCTTGAAAGGGAGCAAGGGCAGCGAGCGGAAAGGCAAAGGAAAGTTCCGTGCCATGGCATCCGTTGAGCGAGTCTGGCCCAGACCCAACCAACTTGAACCCTGCGGGGGTGGTGGACGTCTTCCGGTCCCGCACCACTAGACCATTGTGATTCTCATAGTTTCATGTGCATGTTTTTGGGGGAGGGTCAAAAACACCCGCTCCGATGATCTTTGCGATCTTTGACCTATAGACACTGATTATAAGACTTGACACAGTGCTCGTGCCCCCTGAGCCATTCTTTGAGGGGTCGCCGCAAACACGCCATGGGAGCACAGACCTTCAGCCAGTAGCAGGTAGAGGAACATGTTGTTGCACTGCTCATTTCATCTGGCTTGCGAACGTCAGCCCCTGATGAGAACCCAAACAGTACGCTGAATGGGTGTCACTCTGTGTACGCTCAAAATGCAAAACAATTCAGAGACTGGGTGAACTCATCTACTTTCAGAGCTTCTCAAGTGGTCTTCTATTCTAAGCAAGAATCGAAAATGTTGCTCGGCATTCCATCCTACCAGGTTGCCACTGGTCCCTCTTCCCTGTTAAGCATGGATCCACTGTCCCCAAGCTCATCTCCCAGATGGACTGTCCGCAACGCACACGTTAACAGCTCTCCTGTCTCCCCATGACCTCAAGGAAGCAAGTCGCGCGTGTCACGGCTTCACGACACGACGGAGTCAACGGTCACGGTTCACCCAGATGACCCGGTGGTTTTTCGTTCGAAGTTCGATTCGTGAAAAACATGTACAAACTCCTGACTCACCCTGGTGTTCGAAGGACTAGGGCATGAAACCCCACCAGTTGGAAGTCTTCCCGTTTTGAAACGGGCGTGTCATCTCGTGAGGTTGGGCGTCATCTCGTAGAGTCGGGTGGATCTGCAAGTGCCAAGCTCGAGAGAATCTGACGCCGGACGCGACTTGCACCCAATGCTTCTTCATCTTTCGGATGCACGTCCATGCTGCACGTCCATCGGTTGTTCACCCAAAGGTATTCAAAAACTCCATTGAACAGAGTCCAAATTGAAACTTATGGATCCAACTCCAGACCTGAAATGGATGAACCCTCTCTGAGCCTAGGTGTCTTTGCTTACAGGCGTTCATCAGGTCCTTCTCTAGCCTTTGCTCTAACAAGATGGGGGCACTAAAGTTCAAGGGATTCTCTGACATGTCACATATGTCACACATGTCACACGTCACGTGTCCGATTTCTGAGCCGCCGGCAGATTGCTGGCCCGACTCCACTCACGTCTCTTGGCTCCCTCTGTAGACCCCCAAAGCACCTCTCAACGGCAGCGCCGGTCCGACTGGTGGTGTGAGATCCTTCCAGAACTGGATCCGCACCAAGTCAGTTCTCGACCCTGTGCAAGTGAGACAAACCAAAGACCCTGGCCAAACCTAGTACATCTCCCCCAAGAACTGCAGGAATGCGCAGGAAGCCTGATCCTCTTCACAACATGAGAGTCAAAATACAGTACAACACTCGTAGAATGAGCTGAAATCAAACCGAAATGAAACCCATATGGACCCAAACCATGGCGGCCCATTCACGTGACTCCACGCCCGACTCCCCGACTCCACCTGCCGCACTCTCTGTCCGTTCGGCTTCGACTCCTGGAGGTCGGGCGCCACTGGACAAGCAAACTGGAGGTTTGGCATTTCTTTGAGCAAACAAAACGCTACTAGGAGCCAAGGGCATCGCTACTAGGAACAAGTGCATCGCTACTAGGGGCTCGTGGCCTCGCTACTAGGAGGAAGGACGCTACTATGTTTGTTTGAAACAAAACCGTGAGAGTTTTTGTCAACCTACCAGCTATGGCCTCCAACCTACTAGCGATGCTCAAACCACGGGCATTTGGTTGATGTTTTCAAAAAGAAAAAGAAGGACCTTGGGAATGTGAGGATGGAGGAGGTGAGACTGTTGGAGGAGCCTGCACCATCCTGAGATTGCGAGTGGCCAGTGAACCCCTCGCCGGTCGGTGTCCTGGGGCGACTGTCTGGACGTGGAACTCGCCATTGTGCCGACCGTGCCAACGGTACCTGACAGGACATCTCAGGCAAAAACCCACCTTTAAACCCTTCTTGAGAAGCCTCAAAATACAGGGAGGCAACGGGAAAACTCCTGCTTTGGCGGGAAGAACATATGCCATGGTTTGAGTTTCAGCGATGAATTCTTCTACCGGCTTCGGAGGATTTTCGGGTTTGTGTAGTCAAGCCCAACTACAGGGACAAGTCGAATGCTGAAGGAGTTTGGCCTGCCCACCTGAAAATCAAGACAACACCAGTAGGCAGTGGGACCTTCACAGTTGCAAAGCAAATTAAGACAAGCTTCACTTTCGTAGTCCGATCCAGGATGTCTATTGGGAATGTTCTCCACCCTGATGTTTTGCAGGGTCCAAGTGTGACCCAAACCCACCTTGAGCTTTAGACAACTCAAATGGGAAAACACCCCCAACCGGTCCCGATGTTGCAAACATTCAAGAAAAACAGCTAGGGGAATCCCTAACGGAGACCTGCCGTCCAACCCTCAGCCTGGTCGGGAACGCGTGGACTGATTCGTCCACGGCCTCACCAATGGGTGTGCATCATGTTTGAGGGGCCTGGATGGCTCATCATGCCAGGCCAGCGATGATACTAATGGTTAGGTATACTTCGATGGGGAACGGTTGGAGCCCAAATGCCTTTACGCCACTTCTAACCTCACGTCGTCTGTTCTGTGGCGTCCTCAGTAGTTAAAGGTCTTATGATTATGTTTGATTCATGAACCATGTCGAAAGTGTTGCTGAACAAGCCATGCAAGAAAGGTGCTGCTCCCTTTCATTCTCATCGCATCCTGGCCTGCGAGGACTACAAGCCCCCCTTAGTGAGGATGGCACACGGTATGGGCGGATTTCCCTGCGTCAAAAAAGGTTGCATCGTCTGGACTCCCCGAAAGCATCCCAAGTACGTGAACTATCAATGATAAAGCATTTGTGCTTGTGGACTCCTTCTTGGGGGTGGGGCTTTCTCAACCAAGCAGGAATGCATACAAGAACCACAAGAGATATTCCACAAAGAAGGCTCTGTGAGACAACCACTGACAGCGCATCCCTGACTGCGAACTCACAGCTTCAAGGTCCAGACGATCCAGACGGTCCAGATGGCGACGGTGAGGGGGTCTTCGGCGCCTCTTTGGGCTCCTGATTGGAAGAGCCGGCGGAGCCCAAAACACTAGGCTCCGATCAACTGGTAGAGGCTGGTAGAGGCTACGCGGCCACGCTACGCAGCTGCGCTACGCAAAAAGGACATGCGAGCAGCTCGTCGCGTCCACATCCTCTTGACGATGAAGCTTCGATGAAAGAAAATATAAAGACCCTGCTTCAAATGACCCCCTTGCTTGCTTGAGCACCCGACATGGTGGTTTCTCTGATGACTTCAAATGACCAGACTACCTTTTGTCTGCTGTGCTGAATCGTTGGAGGATTGAAACACATAAAGCTTAAAATCTTCTGCGACAAAGGGCACAAAGTGGGCAGAAAGTGTGATAAAGGGCACAAAGCCTCACTGTTCGTCAAGTGAATCTCTCCACACTGGTCTCCTGGGCCTTGTCGTTCATCCACTTCTCGGAGATCTCCCACATGCTGCGAAAGCCTGCTGACCACAAAAGAACCGCAGATGAAGGTTGTGGTTCTTTGGTATGACCCGGGTCCAGGGATTGCGGAAGTATCTTTTTTGAGCGAATATGAGTAGAGTAGATTAGGTGCATCAGTTCTGTATCTTGAGGCTCAAAACACTGCAAATATTGACTCGGGTCACTACACGCGTACCTGAGCTGCTTGGCCAATGCAAGTATGGGATGGCTGAAATCAGTTTGTATAGAAGAGCGACAAACAAACAGCATGATATCATATCGATGCATATCGTACAATTATTTATAGCAAATCCTGCAAGACTGGTAGGGAAACCATCCAAAGCACCATTGGAGCTGTGCTTGTCAAAAAAGATTGACTCGATCCCCCGGAAAGACACCAAGGTGGCGACTGGAGCGGAAAGTCACCTATGATTCTTTGAGAGGTTGAGCATCAGCTTGAAAAGACGGCCCTACCATCGCAGGGCTTAATGTCATATATCATATCTGCCATTGATTCATACATGTGCTTGTGCTTTGTCCTCTTCACAGCCAGCCTGTGAGAGAATCCGGGAGGTTTTGCAAGCTGACCGGCTCCGTGGTCTTGGAAAACATGGGAAACCACCTCAAAATGCAGGATTGGCAGGCGTTTTGGCACAGGATTGTCCCTGTCCGAACCAAGTCAGCCAGTGAATCTCAGTGATGCAAAATGTATACTATCTGGGACACAGTCGCTGCAAAAGCATGGTATTGATGACACCTATACCAGGAGCCAGCAGTAGCACATCTACAAATTGATGCTCCGACTGCCCATATATACATATATATATACTATATGTATACTATATATATATATATCGACCCATCACAACACATGTTGCTGAACTAGCATCCAGAACTGTTGCAACATCTTTGGAAGCCTTCCAGATGAGTCAAATGAACCCATTTCCCTATATAGATGGGCCAAAAAAACCAGGCCTTTGGGCTAGGTCAAGATGTTCAGGTGAGCACTGTCCCGTGATGGTTTGCTCTGATGCCTATCTTATGCAGCAAATGCAACATCAATTCTCTCAAAGCACAAGAAAGAATCTCCACCATCACAACATATCACAAGACCATGAGACACACAGGGTGGGTGTTCAATACCCAGAGACCCGGTCTTTACCACCTTGGCCTAACCCGACACTGAGAAGCCACACGTGGCAAAGCCCTTCCCACCTGATCGGCCGGACCGACAGACACTCTCCTTCTCCTTTCCAAGCAATCAAATACGCATATTTTTGGTGAAGGAGTCCCTAGGTTTGGGAGAAGGAGAAACGAAGGCACTGGAGAAGCCCATCAAAATCTATTCTTCTCCAAGTCACGTTCTTCTGGGTGCTCTGCATGCCAGTCGCCTGCAAGCCCGAAACAGCGGGAGAAGAGTTAAAAGACAGCCCTTCAGATATGCCATACTCCATCACCATTTGTGTTTGTTTGTTTCAACCTCTGATATCCTCTGTG